CTTTCATGGTAATGATGCACATGACCATAAACATTTAAATGAAATGCATTGTAACAAATATGACCTCAACATGCATACCATTACATCCTCAAGAACATATATAAACATTATAATTCATTCACATGTTCTAAATAATTAAGTATGCATACAACATGAAGTATACCTTGCACATTCCATAAAAATAATGAATATCATAACAAGGTTAAGCAACAAGCATCATAATCAATCAATTGTCATATAAACATAGTCTTTCCTTTCCTCTTAATCCTTTAAACGTCACAATTAACCTTTTTCCTCTTTATCCTTGTTTTTCATACTTAGTCGAATTTAAGCTAAGTAAAGGATAACTTTTATTCCTTCTATTTAGCTCAAATTAAAGATGGGAAGGTTCCTAATGGTTTTGAGAAGAATGGAAGCCATGATTTCAAAAGAAGGAATGGTAAAGTATACTAGGTTGGGAGTGAATCCTCTTGACCCAAAAATCGATGGAGTAATTGAGAAAGACATGAAAAGCATGAAAATCTCAACAAACATCCAAAACCCTACATTTACTTAATACATTTTAACCTAACAACAATAATAGCCAGTATTTTACAAAGACAAACACAACTATATCCAAGAATCCAAATGCAAACACATCCTAAAAAAAAACAAACAAACAAACATAGCCATATCTAAAAATCCGAATGCAACCATATTTTAAATAATCAAGCTTATCGATCAAGTCTACGAAATCAGTCAAATTAGTTCTATTTTTTGAATCAAACTTACCAAACATGTTAATTCCTTTGAGATGCTCTAACATTCAAAACCTTGGACAATTATACCCCAACTTTACTCATAGGATGAAACATTCGAGCATCCGATAAGCATTGAGTAAATCATCACATTCTTGCCTAACCGGATGAAACCCTTATATACTTCATGGAACAAACCGGATGCGAGAATATGAATGTCATTTAAATGAGGTCCGATATAGCATCAATGATTGTCTTATTTTTAAGAAGAAAATGTTAGATTTGATCAAACAAAGTTGGGTCGGTTTTGATAGTGGTTGAAATGCTTCTAACATGAACATCAACGTTTTCCTAAACTATATGGTTACCCATGCATGAGATGGAAATATTGAGTGAGATTAAAAAAAATTGATGCTTGTTTATGACTTGCAACTATGATATTTTAATTTTGTCAAATTTTGAACTCGCTTCAAAAGAAAAACATTAAAAAAAAACATTTTGGTTATACATGGATTAAATTAGGTCTTTAAATGAAGTAGTAACTTCTATTAACTTCCTATAATTTCATATTGTCCGATTTGAAATCAACGAAGTGTATTTGGCATTATATCTCTTTCCATCAAGAAAATATAATGGCAAGTTCATTAAAAAACATTCAAAAAATTGATCAAATTTCAAAGCGGGACAAACATATGCTAGAGATAATTTTTTAATTCATTAAACTCAAAAATACATCCTCCTAATAATATTTTTTAACATAAAGTAGGGAGGCAATCCCTCATTCTATTGAAAAAAAAATCGATTCTAAATAAATCTCGAAGAAAAGTTTTGCTTATAAAATCCTCATAAAGCCTAAAGTTGAAAGATAAAATGATTGATGCCTTAAATAATGATGAACAATATATCTTTACGTCATGATTTCAAATTACAATCATCATTTCTTCTTATACGTGAACCTAAGGGTTTTCTAAACTAATCATTATTTTTTAAAGAGATTAGCATTTATCAACCTAGGTAAATTAGTCTTCAAGATGAGGAAATACCATCTTTCGGATATCTTATAAAGGTTTTGTCCCTTATCATCCCAATTCAAGCCTTAGTGATTTCTTTCATGATAACCTAGACTAGGATCACCCCTTACACTAGGGGATAGAATATGAAGTCCATAAAAGATTGATGAAACTCTTAAAAAAATTTTATCAAAAGAACCCCATTAGTGATTTTGAAAATAAAAAGAAATGAGAATACAAAAAAAAGAGGCGAAGATAAAATAAAGAAAAGAAACAAAACTAGAAGACATCCCTAATACCAAATCACAAGTCAAGATAGGAGCCAAAACCCAAACAAATGGATAATGAGATTTGAGGCAAGGAAACAAAGTCAATAGTCAAAATGACAAAACCATCTGCGCAAGCCTAAAGAGAAAAATTTTCATAAACATCAAGATGACATAAAAGCCCAACTAACGATTAAAGTGACAAAGTCCAAACTACATTACCTAAAGATATTTCCATGGACAACAAAGTAATCCTATATCATAAGAACCTTAAACATTTTTTGAGCCTTTATGAATTTATTTTATTCATAAGCTCAAACCATAACCTACATTACATGCTTTTCCAACCTCTTTTTGATCAAAGGTCATTCACTTATGCTCTTGAATTCTACTTTTAAAAGGAAAAAAGAAGAAGAAAGATTAAAAAAACACATGACCGAGTTAGCTTGCTATTTGTCATTATTTATGACATCAAATCATGCATCTTCATCAATTTTCTCTCTTAGACATTGAAACTTTCCATCCGCCTCTCACGAGTACCTACAAATCCTTAACTATAGGTAATGTAAAGACATGGTTGACCAACCCAACTTTGGTTAGCCAATGGGCATCTTTAGCTAGGCTTTTTGGCTCGAGGCCTATTGACAATCACGAAACATCCACCAAGCACTAAAGCCACTCTTTTCCTTACACCATATTCATCATCCCCTTAGTCAAACACAAAACCCACACCCTTCAAACACCCTATTGTTATCCTTTTACCATTATCGAGTACCACTTGCTATCATCCCTAGTTGTTGTAAAAGTTTGTTTGACCGGGAGACATCGAACCAAACATAAGTTCGCCAAACCATGAACCCATTTCCCTCTTCTTTTTACATCAATATCTAGCATTTCCCTCACCGGAGGACCTACTAAGTTCCCCCTTTTGGTTATCTCTTTACATCAATAAACATACAACCTTAATGTAACTCTTCCTCGACTTCACTTTTATAGCTTTTTTTCATTTACATCAAACACCATTGTAACCATATGACTTACCCCTTTACCATAGTAGTTTCCCTAAGCTCCCTCGTCCTTTGAACACCAACAAACCTCTAGGCCTACCTTACACAACCACACTAAGCTACCCACTTCTCAACTACCAAGCTAGCCTCCTTACAACCCTAAAACTTCAAACCAACCATCATTTTCACCCATAAAACCCTCTCCCTCTTATCGCCATCGAAACAACACCAAGCCACCCATCTCTCAACAACTATAAAGCTAACCTTCTCTCACGGACTAAAACACAAATACCTAGTGTGCATACTTCCTAAAAACACCATCCATTGCCATATCCTACATTCATAACCTCTCATTGCACAAGCCATCACAACAATCGCACCTAAAATCACCATTTGAACACCACCATAACTCAAGCCATTCGAGCACCCCAAAGAAAAACCATTTGCCACACTTAAGCCATCTATACCATTAATGCTCTCCTTCATCATGTTCATTAATCTTCTCCTTCTTTGCCTAGCCACACTCTAGCTCCTCACTCGCCACAAATCAACCAAACCTAATTCTCCACCTCAACGGACCCATCCCTCTCTCAAGATCACCCAATTGCTACAACTCATAACCATCACAAATGACTCCAACTTGGACCCATTGGTAAACTTGATTTCATAAAAAAAAAATATTTAGGGTCTCAATCAAAACTTGGAAATTGACCGAGAAATATTTTGACCAAAATAAAAACTTGTAGGAGATAAATTTTAGAACTAAACTAGATATGTTACCTTTCTTAGAAAATGGTGTTTTTGAGTGATCGATATATTTTGAAAAGCATAATCAACTCTTTATCTTAAAATCTCTACACTAGTACCCATTTTAAGTTCTTAGTTCCTTCAATATTAGGCGACGACTCCGAAATCAATAATAACTTGCATCTCTATAGTAAAATCACAAATAATTTGATTGAATAAAATAAAATATTAAATTTTTAAGAGTCTCGTCCAATGTTGGATAGCGATAATAATAATTATTATTATTATTTTGCATTTTAAGTCGAAGCATTTCATAAAAGCATAGCTTATGGGCAAAAATATTGATCGAAAGGATAGATCAAAGACGCAACATTATAATTTATATAATTAAAAACATAAAGACAGATTAGAAAGTCAAACTATTACATAAAAATATATCGATATATTTACCTTCTAAATTATCATATACAGTTAATTTTCAATTACACTACACCATGCTCATATATAGATAATGAATATTTAAGGATTTTAATTTTTATAGCCATACAAATCAAACTACTATTGTATACTAAGTATTTAATAGTACTTCATCTATATTCTATACAAGTCATGTAACTTGTATCATATTAAACAATTTTATAATAGTTCAATTACTTTTTAACTTCCACGATGGGTCTCCAATCATAATAATAATAATAATAAGTTTTTAAGGTAATTTATGATAATGATTTAATTGGAAAGCCTAACGCAACAAAAAAAGAGCCATTTTCATTTATCATCGGACTTTGTTAAGAAAAGTTTTGAAATTCATATTTTACAACTTTTTTTAATAAGAACCATAAAAATTATTGGATTTTACGTATATCGAGATCCTGTAGAATTCGAATTTTTTGATTGAGACTCTAAATTTTTTTTCTAATTTAAGTGTTATATTTTTAATTTTTTGTGTTTCGGACCCTAATATACCACGTCGGCACATATGGTAAGGTCTACCTAATAGTTGATTGACATGTGCAAAGTATGCCTAAATTTTTTTTAACAAAAATTAAAAAATTATGGTATATTTTTAATTATTTAAGTAATAATAAACCTAAAAATAGATTATAAATATATCAATTTACCCTTACTCATTAAACCTAAAAATTTTCCAAATTCGAAAAATTTGGTATTGTTCTAAAAAACTCTTTGGATGCTAAATATTTTTTGAGAAAGGAACATCTTGTTTAACAATGGATGGCAATTGAAATTTCTATCAAATCACAAATCAAAGACTTGATCTTGAGGACTTTTGGGTCATCTACATCGAAAGCAAGACACACTTCGCTCATGTAATTGCAAAAGTTGCTTTCATTGAGATTCCATGAAAGCAGTGGCTTCGAACTTATCTCATTATTGTCTTGTTTCTATAACATCAACATACTATGTTATGTTTGAACCTTATATGTAGACCCTCTTCCAGCGTAACATCAAATGCTATGAAAGGGGATGAAGAGAGCGTGGCCCTCAAAGCAATCGAATTCCGAAGCTCCATCCGTGATGAAGAGATAAAGCTTTAAGAATATAGGACCCTCGAAGGTGGGGATTTTGGATCTACTCATTCATTATTCATAATAAAAGGCCCTCACATATCTTATTCCTTTGTTGTTGGATACTATGTTGAAACGGAAGGAGGATTAGGACCAAGATGATAGCATTTGGAATATATCCATGGTCGAGGGCACATGTCTAGGTCTTGGTGCTAGAACATTTGGATACTCTTAGTCATATATTTGAATTTTTGCATTGTCCTCCTAGTGGATTTTTTATGATTTAACGGGAGAAGTCGGAAAGGATCGTTACTATCTTGCTTGGAGTTTCGTTTTATGAAATTGGGAAAGGAGAAGGAGAAATTAGGGTTGATTGCAATCGAAGGTACGAAAGAGAGAAGAAACGAGTAGAAAAAGCTCGAAACGAATGGGAAGAGAGAGGAGAATTTGAGAAATCTTTGGGTTTAGTGGATAAGGGTAGATTGATATTTTCATAAGTTATTTTAAGATTTGTTATTACTCAAATCATTAAAAATCCATCAAATTTTTTAATTTTTGTTACAAATCAATTTGGACCCGCTTTACCACGTGTCAATCTATCATTAGGTAGACCTTGCCACGTGTACCTACGTGATATATTAAGGTCTCGAAATAACAAAAAATTAAGAGTATAAAACTTAAATTGGATAGAAAAAAAATTTTAATATCTCAATAAAAAAAAGCTAAATTGTACAAAGTTTCGATATGCATAAAACCCAAAAATTATTATCATAAGAGAACTAACGTATTGTCTTTTGAAATGACTTATGTGAGCAAATGATGTGCTAATTATGTTCTTTGGACATTTCATACAAATTGATCATACTATAATTTCATAAAAATAAATGTGACAAGTGATGAATTATGAATCTAAAAAATATTAAATCATTTGTTACTAATAATAATAATAAAAAAATGGCACATCTATCCGCATGAAAATTCTATGTACTTTATTTTTACGTATAGAATTGTTCTAATTAATATATATGCTTGCATTGTAGATCAATTATTATTTTTTAAATAGATTATATATTTTTTGTCATCTCGAAATCAAGATATTGGAATCAAATTCGCCAATAGATTCATAATTTTTCAAACATAACCAATATATAATCAATCTTTTTATTTGTAAAAATACATCCTAAATATATCGATTATGTTATTATCAAATTCTTATTCATGAGATTGAATTCACCCATCAATTCCTAACTTTTCAAACATAACCAATACATAGTCAAACTTTTAATACTTATAAGAGCACATCCTAAATATGTTGATTATGTTAAAGTAAAATTTCTACTCATTGGGATTTGGTGGAATTGGAAACGAGTTATAGGTATTATTATAGATCAATCCATTAAAGAGCTAGATACTCAACTAACATTAAGAATGTTACATAGCCACAAGTATTCATAATGGATTGCTAGGTAGTTTTGAACCGCTTACGAGTCCTCTTTAATTGGAACAAGTGTGGATTTTAAGGATGTGCAAGCGGTTCGATTAACCAAAAATCGAATAGAATCGAATCGAATCAAATTATGTATTTTGATTCAATTTTAAACTTAAATTTGTTAAATTTAAAATCGAACCGAATTTCGGTTCGGTTTGATTTTTGAAAAAAAGTTGATTTGAACCAAAAACCAAAAAAGTTGACGAGTAATTTTTTTTTTCCTAAATCCTAATCTAAATCCCTAACTCTAAGAGATCCGACGACCAAAAATTTGAGTATCAAATTTATTCACTTTTCTTTTAAATAAATACCGAGTAACACTAGAAATTAGCAATCTGTCTTGCTCACCAAGAAAACCTCTTAATAATTCATGTTTGGCTAAAGAAAAAGAAATCAAGAAAGTGAAAAAAAAAATGTCGGGCATGGAGAGACTCGTAAAGAATGTTTGTAGGTGCAAGAGGCGTGTTGGGCCATCTAGCACAAGATACTCCCACTCTCGATTCCTTTAGCGGATCTACATCTCATCTCTCGCCCTCTTTAAAATGCTTAAACATGGTACATTTTTCCAAAATCCAGAACTTATAGATACGACATATTTCACTTTTAGGGATTTGTTGTTGGTTCTTGTTAATTCGAATTTGAACCAAAATTCTAGGGTTTTGGATTTGAACATGTTTTCCGGATTTACTATTTTTTTTTATTGAATTTTAAGGAGTTGTTAAGAATTGGATTTTTTATGTTTGATTTTGGTGGATATGGATGATAGGGAGAGTCGGGGTACCAATGGAAGTGATGAGTTTAATGCTTGGAGAGTTTGTGGATGAATATATTGCTCGTATTGTGGATGTATTCGCAATGCCACAAAGTGATACTCGGGCTACTGGTAGCCATGGTTGCAGATTGTTGTGAGAGTGATCAACCGATCATGTTAATTGAATTCAAAAGAAGAGTGTAAGGATGAAGAAGAATTAGCTTCATATTGTTATTGTAATTGTTCTTCATCTTTTTGGGGGTGAGATATCGAGATATGAAGAAAATTTTAAATTAGTTTAATTATTGGTTAAAACAATTCGGTAGTGCTAATATCAGTGTGGAATGTGGATTTCCTTGATATTTTTCTATTTTTTTCTTGATATTTTTCTTTGAAAAGATGAAAAATGGTTTTGATGGAAACATTTTTTTCTTACCCATGTAGATTCAAAGAGCCTATTGTTAATTCTTGTTATTTCTACTAGGCAGAATCTAGCGAGATGAATGAGTTTTTTTTATAACAAAATATTTTGGTTAAAACCGAATTTTTTTGAAACCTAACCAAAATAATTCGATTTCAAAGCGAATTTATTGAATTTATTTCGGATCGATTTCGGTTTCGTTTTTCTTAATTTGATTAAACGAAAATCGAATTATACAAAACCAAATCGTTTAACCGTTTGCTCACCCCTAGTGAATTTATATATGTGACTATTGAATCGTCCAAAGTGCACAACACATGACACAAAACTGGTAAATACTAAAGGGGTAAATTATTGTGAATACTCTGGTTTAGTATAGAAGATTAGTTTAATTAATCTTCTTACATTTTCACTTGAGGAAACATTAACTCCAACTTCGGGGCTTGTTGGTTATGTGTTATATGTATATATTTCAGAAGTTGGGAAGCAGAATGTTATCATCCAGAAAAAACGAATGAATATGTGAAATATTTGTCTGATGGAAGAAATATTCATATATCAAAAGTTTGAAATCCAATTGGCAATAGAGTAATACATTAAAAGCTAAATTGAAGTTTCTCCAAAGTTACTGCTAGTTCCAACTTTATTACATTTCACACAATTTTCTTATATTTGCATAAATTACCAGGCATTCAAATGGCAAAAATTTTTTTTTTCATAAAGTGAAAAAGCAGGTAGGTTATTTTAGATTTTTCCACAGTAAATATTGTGTCTACATTGCATCATCTTTTTATCTAAAAAAATTCTCACTATAATTATATGGAAACTAAAGTTTGGATTTTTTTTTTAAATAATTACAATCATATATGAAGACAAAAATATATCATTAATTATAGGCTGCGATAAGTGACATTCGAAATTCAAAAGTGAGCCGATCTCAAAATTTCACAAAAATTGGATCTTTGGACAAGTCTCCAAGCAATTTTTATTTTTTATTCATCTTAATTGGGTTCTCAAAATTTCAGAAAATTTCTAAATAATATGTTTTATATTAAAAGAAGATATAATTCAGTAGAAAGCTATAATTTGTGAAGAATTTAGAGGAACAACTCAATTAAGAATTTCTAAATAATATGGAAACTCATTTTCAAACCAAAAAGAAAAAAGAAAAAAATGAAACACAAGTGAGATTAAGGTCATATTAAGGGACTAATTTAATTTGAGATTTTCCTAAGAATTTTTAACAATTAAATAAAGAGAAATAAAACAGCAAAAACAACCAACTAGCTTGGTGGAGCAGAGACGTGAATGGTGGGGGAAGGTTAATGAGGTAGTGCAACGAGCGAACGGAGGTAAGGGGAGAAGCAGATGCCATAACAAGACGAAGTGGGAACAATGATGTGGCAAAGCAGGATCGCAAAATGTAAGAAATTGGAGTAAATTATAAATTAGTATTTTTAGTTTTGAGAATCGAAATATTAGTGTTTTTTCTAAAAAAACTAATTATTTAGTTGTTATACTTTTTATAAAGTTAATTTATTTTTGTTGTTTTTCAATTTATTTTAAGAAAAAAAGAAAAAAGTAAAAATATAGAAGTATTAATGAGAAAGATTACATTTTTTAAAATAAAATACTATTAAAACTAATAATGACCAGCATCGGTTAAAAAATTAAAAAATTAATTTGTGAAAAAATTAATTAATTTGTTTCTCAAAACAGAGGGATTAATTTATAATTTACTCAAGATTTTGAGTAACAAGAAAAAAAATGGTTTTATTGTTTTATTGACTTCTTTAAAAAATTTCAATGAAGTACTTTCATTCACCTAATGTCAATTGCTCTGTCATTTATTAATGTATCATTTGACATTAACCCTTCGTTGGTACTCAAGCTTTTACTTTGTCTCAATCAAACACAAAAGCTTTAATCTTAACAATTTTTGTATACCAACATTTTTTGATTGTGCCAATCACGTACTTTCTTAATTTTTTATTTTCTAATGTGGTTTTTATTTACTAAAATATTTAAAATTAAAATAAATCCTTTTAATAAGAAAACTTTTTTTAATTAATAGTTAGTTATTTATATTCAACACTGAAGGTAAAAACTATTGTATGATTAATTAAAACTAATAAACTAATTATTAATACAATTAAAATATATATTATGTTAATCAAAGAAATAGATATCGAGTGATTGAAAATAAAATAGAAAAGGTTAATGATTTATGATTTTTTTAGAAGTAATTGATCCGCACTATTGAAAACGTCAATGTATCAACATTCATATACTTTATTGAGATAAACTAAAAATTGGTGTACAACCATTATAATTTTTCTTTATTAAGAGTCAAACGACATGACCATAGAAAATGGAATAATTAACAGAAGTTTGATGGAAATACTTAATTAAAAATTTTTTAAAAGTTGATGTACTAAAAAAATTAAAATTCATTTATTAAATTGAAAAAACATGTAAAGTTGATGTATTGATAGTGTAATTATCCCATTTCCGTCCTGAGATAGGGAAGGAGGCAAGGAAACGCGATGGAGTGGGCGTCGTGGGTTAAATGCAGAGTGAGGCTTCAAGAATATATAATATTATGATTGATGGAATTCGTAGCTACTGTTATTGATTGTGCGGAAAGGTCGCCTTAATTGATAGAGTAAATTATAATTTAGTCCCTTTATTTTCTAAGAAAGAATTAATTAGTTTATTAGTTTTAAAAATTAATTATTTAGTTCCATAATAAGTACCGAACATAATTGATCTTATATTAATTTATTTAAAAAAATGAGATTTTTTCGTCAATCCTTCCATGTTTTTTATTTCTTAAAACAAAAAAATCAAAATAAATTAAAAAAAGAAGAAGATGAAGTTTAAGAAATAAGAGTAACTACTTAATTTACTTCTCAAAACTAAAAGGACTAATTTATAATTTACTCTTAATTAATATGGTAGACTTAGCTAGATTGCCTTTAGGTTTGCAGTCTTAAAGATCTCTGCAGCATTGTCTATAGTAAATCTACTGTATTTAAGGCATGGGATGACATATGAATATCAATGGCAAAAGGGAAAGAGAAAAGGGCGCTTTGCGAGGACAGGTTACAATAGGGACTAACTTGTAATTTAATCTACATTTTGTATTCATACAAAACCAATTTGTATTGGTTTCAAAGAGGAGAATTAATTTACTTTGCATTATTTATTCATGAAGAACCAATTTTACTGGTTTAATGACATAATTTACTCTCAAATTATTAAAATTATGACAAAATAAGTTTTATATTATCAATTTAGATTATTTGAATCTCAAAATGTTAATATTTATGCAAATTTTAATTTTTTTTATTACGTTTAACAATTAAAATATAACTTGTTAATTGAAATATTTAAATGATATCATTCTATCATTTCGGTTTTTTTTTCCCCTCTTTTAGATGGATACATTACATATAAGTAATTATTCAACAATAAAAATCAAATTCATAAACAACACAATTATCTAAACTTATTTTGAAGTTCAAATAATCTAAATTAATAATATAAATATTATCTTGAAAACTAAATTATGTCATTAAACTAATTTTTATTCATTGGATTTGATCCATTTAATGAACACGATTGAATTACAATTGAGATGACTAACTTTATAATTGCTTGGCCGGTTATCAACTCCAAGGCATTGCATTCCTCTCTCTTTCCTCCATATCTTCTATTCATTTTTGGTTTCCTTAAGTCAATGAAACATAGTTCTTGTGCCCAGAATCATCCTATGAGAAAATTATCGAAATACAATTTATTTTCTTTCGTTCAATTCAATTTAAGTATACTTAGTTATTTATGAAAGAAACATGAAATCCAATATCTGTCTTTTAGTTCACAAAATCCCAAAACACCCTAATATTCCTTCAAAGTTTAGGGTTACAGGGGTTTGGTTTCCTGTGATTTCTCAAAAATTTGCTTTAGTTAATAATTCTACTCGCTTTGTCTTTTCTAAGTTTCTAAAGGAAAATGCTTTAGTTCAAAATTTTTTTAAAATTTTTTCTAATAATCCAACTACGATCCATTTTTTATCAAGTGTCGGATCATTTCGAATATATCAATATTTTTCAGTTTCAAATAATCGTAAACTCTAAAAAAAAATCAAAATTTTAGACATTTAAATAGAAAGATTTATTAGTTAATATTCAAATAGGAAAAAAAAAAACAAAAAAATCAAGCAACCAAATTATAATTTTCTCTTTTCCATAAAGTATAAATTCACTACGGACTCTATTACGTTACAACTTCATTGATCTTAGTAAGTTGATGAAATAAGCACAGATTCTTCTACAAAGTTGCAAGCCTTGCCAGACCATCTTAATTCTCATTTGAAGGCTGTTGAAGTCATTTTCTAATGGCAATAGTAGTGTTAAAGAAGAAGAAAGGGAGAGAAACGTTGACGTAGTTATATATATATTTGAAAGTTTGATCCAGAGAAGAGTGGAAATAGTAAGAGAGTTAAACGAGATATGATTTTTTAAATTTATTTTAACTAATGATGTATGAAATTTAAGACTTCTCATAAAAACCCACCAAGTTGGTCTCCTTACAATTATGACCCCTCTTTTTTATGATTTTATAGCCATCCGGTCCAAATGCACTAAAAATATGTCTTAAAGTCTACATTTTCTACTATATAGGAGCTCTCATCTTCATAAAACACAAGATCTACACAAGCCCAACAAAAGCCAATACAAAGAGAAGAAGCCAATTCAATCCAATATTGGCTCACATAAAGCAAAATAGTCTCAAATACACATATAAAGACATATATTTTCAAAGAACCAAGGCTCTCTCATAAAATATGCATATACAATACACTTAAAATACCGACAAAGCTATCAAAATTGCTATATAAGACATCCTCCTAACACCAATAACGTTGATGTTCATTCTCCATTCTTATAGAATTCTAGAGGACACCATTGCTATTTTTCAACTCCTTTAAGGAGATCGAATATCAATTGCGGTTAACTCATATGCTCAAAATCTACGGTATCATCGATAATAATCAATGATAGGTTATGTGAAGATGATTAATTACATCCAATGTCTATTAAAAATTCTACATATGTATGAAATGTACTACTTTTGTGCTATCAATTGATTCTCATAAAAGATATGTAGTGATATATTTATATGACATGTGTCACTCAACAAGATTCATGAGCCTTCACTATGAGCAACATGTGTACACACAATCTTCTCTTTGGCCTAACAGCATGTACTTGGGCAAAAGCTTAGGGATAAAGCTATACTCGAGACATAGACGAGCGAACAAATCTACACAACTAGATAAACACACTCGGTTACAATTTGGAGAGCAAAACCAAACCTACACCAACAATTAAAAAAAAAAAAAAGTAATAAAGGGTATATCTAATAAATGGGGACATGCTTTCAAGACTACTTTTGTTTAATCCATATCAAGACTAATTTTTTTATGTTTTTTACAACAATGACTTATCAACATTAAGAATACTTATCCTTCCAACTAGTATATCTAATAAATGAGGACATGCTTTCATGACTATTTTTGTTTATTCCACATTAATATTGATGTTTTCATGTTTTTTCAACAATGACTCGTCTAATATAAAAACTACTTATCTTTCCAACTAGTATAAAAAGATTGTTGATAGTAAAAGAATGAACTATTCTATATGTCCTTCCATGTAATTTGATAAGTCTTTTGGGCATATAAACAATCAAAAGATTTAAGATTAAGGGTTTTGAATCCCTCCTTTTGCCGCTATTATTTATCTTCTTCCTCACGCTTGCAACATGACCTTCTTACACTAACTTGATTGTTGGAACCAGGAGAATTTTTTTGTAGGTATTCCGATCAATACAACCACCATCCATCATCAAGCATCAACAACCATTCAAAAGCCACATCACCTTTAGGAGTTAAACAACCTCATCACATAGTACTACTACATAAAGAATGAGAACGTTGTGGTAGCCAAAAAGAGACCCATCGGAGATTGATTTATGCATTATGATTGCCCACATCAAGGCCATTTTGAAGCACACGACTGAAACAAAGATTTTAAGCTGAGAAGTGACAGAACCCTATGCTGTTCTTTTAGTGAATCTCAGAGAATATATCTATAACGAAATTTGGAGTATGCATAAGCAATCCTAGAATAATTTCTAGTTCAAAATTCCAGCTTTTGGTTTACCGTACGGGCAGAAGTAAACCTGATCATGGTTTGAGAAAGCCTGCAGATGAGAATAACCTTAGTTTTGCTGGAGGATCCCTAATCAGTTTGTCAATTGCACTGCTAGAAGACAGCTGCTTTAATTTAATTTATTTCCACTCTCTACTTCAAGAAGATCACTGTTTTCACTAGATATATCCAGTCTCTACCTACGATAAAAGTTTTATATTAATTTGGCCAATAGAAAAAAACGTTAAGCCAAGTGGGATATTACTCAATAACTCACATATGCATACACCTCAACATTTATCTCTGATATCCATCCTAAAATGGTTTATCAAGCCCAAAAAGACGATCAGTCATGGATATCAAACATATTTTCATGGAAATGATTAATGGTTCCTTTGTCACTCAAACCACCCGGGCAACTCTCAAACTCGTACTTAGAAGAAAACTTGATCTCTCATGTTGTTTTTAAGGATTATATTTTGCATCGATCCACTAACGCAACACAAAACGTCTCCAAATGGGATGAATAGCTCTGATCCACAGCCATCAACCTCCGCATCAAAAATCAATGTTTGTAAATTAACTTGAAAACAAATCGGTGCTTAATTTCAATCTGTCCATTCTTTTCCCTTTTATATTACAGACTTCTGTCGGGGCTGATGAAGCTAGCAGCAACAAGGCGCACCAGTTTAGCGTCCTTCTTCACAGTTTTCTCAAGGAATGTAGCATTAATTATGCACTTGCATAAATACAGTGTTTTACGCGCATGGTCGTTCTATTAATCACCTGTAAATTTCGTCATATTTTCTTGTTCCTTGTAAAACGCTCCAATTTCCGTTTTCGACCACAACAATGTGCTTTTCGTCTGAAAAATCACTAATTTGGTGTTTTTTTTTCCAAGACAAAAAGCCTAGCACTTCAAAAAACAGCAGATACATAATGTCCTAATTTCAGTGCCTGCAATGCCTTAGGAAGTCCTAAATTCAAACAATAGATATGCCATTGGGGACAATTACAAGTCTTAGGACCCAAATAAAACATGTTACTACCAAAGATAAAACATATGTTTAAGTTAATGATAAATAATTTACCTGACTATGAAAAGTCATATTTTTTTATATATATATATATATATTTTTAATAATAATAAAAATTGAACATTTAGCATCTTTAGTGGAAACATTTTTTTTATGCATACCTAAAATGCTTTGGTGGCTGTAATGCTGGTTCTTAGCTTTACATCCAATCCAATAAAGAAGGTATTGTTTGTGTGTACGCTATAGGTCCAATTTATGAGTGATTTTAGCATAATCGATAAAGAAATTAGAAAAAAAAAAAAACTACAATGAATTTTAAAAATAAAAAGAAGGCCGAAATTGTGTAGTATGTGCATATATGGTGGTGGAAAAGAGAAAAAACAAACGAAAAGTTTTGCCTAAACAAATGGCAGCCCACACTTGCACCAAAAAAAAAAAAAAAAAGATTTAGTTTTTAACTTTGCACTTTTAATAAGAAGAGTAACAAGAGAGGAAAAAGAAAAACAAATTTTTCTTTTACTTTTACTTTTTATTTCTATAATAAGAAATCAAGATTTTTTTATACACATAATATTGATGTTTTTCTAAGGTTAATTTTTAGATACTACAACCATAAAAAAATTAAAGAATTTCAAAATGGTGATTATATACAGTATTGAATTTTATGAAAATAAAGAAATTTCACATATTCTAAGTTTACGTGGTGAGATGGGTTTAGATAAATAGATAAATAACTTATGTTATTGTTAATATCTTTACTTCTTAAGTTCACAAAAAATAAAAATCAAAATAAAAATGAATGATTGTATTAACTTTTTTACTATAATAAATTATTTTGAAATTATTTCTTTAAAATAGAAAGATTTTTCTATGTAAATTTGATGTTTTTGTAATTATATTTTTACGATTGATTTATTATATAATCTTCATTTTTATGTGTGTTTGGCTTGATTATTTTTTCACAAAATCTAATTTACACATAATGAGATTAAATTTTCAAGGAAAGACATTTCATGATTTTTATTTTTATTTTTTGAGAACAAAGAAGGCATTTCTTGATTTTAAATATGAAAGATTATATAATATAGTATCGTCTAGGCCTGTTTTTTCTTATATTTTTCTTTTTCCCGTTAAAGAAAAGAATAGGAAAAGGCCCAGAGTGTTGTTATATATATATATATATATATATATATATATATAAAAGGGGGCCCAGAGTGGATTGGCTAGTAAAGTGAGCCCATCGTCAGAGTTACAGAAAGGATGACATGTAATCACATTATCCAAAGGAATGGGATATGGTGCAGAAGTGGCAGCACCCTAGTGGAGGAAACGATTGACATCACATTCCAAGATGAGATAATCCTCTCCGAAAAAACGAAATTCACTTCATTAATTCAAAGCCTCTCAATCTCCACTTATGTTTGTCTTTTGTTTAACCAGAGCATTTGTTTGCCACACTTCGTCTACCATCGGAGAGAGAGAGAGAGAGAGAGAGAGAACATGGCTAGCTGCAGCTTGGCATCAGCTGCTTCAGGATTTGTGTTGACTCCTAATGTCGCAGTCAATACGAACTCAACTTCTAAGTCCAACATGGTGTTTTTCTCTTCAAAGAACAACAACTGTTCAAGGCTTGTTGTTAGGGCAGCCGAGGAGGGTGCAGCACCACCTGCTGCCACCACAGAAACAGCAGCTGCTCCAAAACCTAAGCCACCACCAATTGGACCCAAGAGAGGAACCAAGGTCAGTTATCAAACATTTCTAGTTCCTACACTTCAGTTACCAAAAATATTTGTCGAGGTATCCAGGAACCAGGATTCAAACTCAAATATGTTAGCTTGATGAGCATAATTCCAAGTATAGCCTGGTTCCTCTTATTCGCTCGAAAAATATCAAATTTATAGAGTTGGTACCAGCATGTAGGAGTTTCACCAGCAAAGTATATCAAATTGTTAACTGCTAGAACGAGTTCAGTCTCAAGGACTACCTCTATTGAAACAAATATAGCATGGTTTCGTCTTGATCACGTGAAGTGCTAAAAGGGGGTTTTGAATTCACTTCTTATTGCTCAAATTCGTACTTGCATGTGACAAGCAAACAGTTGGTAGCAGGTAAAAATAGCAGTAACATTTCTGATCTTGTCACACTACTACAGGTGAAGATTCTGAGGAAGGAATCCTACTGGTTCAATGGGGTTGGATCTGTAGTAGCTGTTGATCAGGTTAGGCTAAGACCATCTCTCTCCTTCCTGACCGTTCTTTTTTTCATTTCTATCATGGTTATATACTGTGCACTTTGTATTGGACAGGACCCCAACACCCGCTACCCAGTGGTGGTTCGATTCAACAAGGTTAATTATGCAAATGTATCTACAAACAACTATGCCTTGGATGAAATCGAAGAAGTAAAATGAGTGTGATGTCTGTGTATTGTAATTTTGGTTTTCTTATTATTTATCCTACTCTCTAGCTTAAGCTTTGTGTGTGTCATGAATGCGTATCATACTCCACCTCAGTGATTCTCTCTAGTTCCCTGTTATATTTCAATTACTGCTCCTATAATCAAATTCAGAAAACCAGAAAATGTTAACCCATATGTTGCCCCAACTGGCAGTAATTTACATTCTGATCACAATGCAGGCACAGTTTCTGTCGTGCTTTTCAAAAGAGGGTAATCCTGCAAATTGCTCGCATAGGAAAATGTACAAATCTGGTTAAATAGTATTGTAGAGTTAATTATATGTGGTAATTTGAGTCAGTAAGCAGAAATCACACTTTTTGTGATGTTTCTTGAACAAAATAACGCCTGATAATGATTCATAAACCACGATAGGAAGCAAGAAATTGGATTATATTCTCCAGTTAAGAGAAAGCAAAGAATATCCATGTTGCAATATATACCATGCTAGAAGACCAGAAAAGCTCGTGGTGCTTTTTAACTTTTTTCTGTTCCTCTGTCATGTCAATACAATGTATATACGAGCAGGGATGAAAACCAGAATCCAAGTGTAAATGTGGAGAATCCAGAAATGCAAATCAAACCCTTCAATACTTTAAGCTTAGGCAGGCATCGATACCATCGCTTCAAATTTATTGCTCGAATTGATCAGCTCCTCACGAGTTTTCTGGCAGTGAGTCATTTGGAAATGTGTGTGTTATTATGTGAAAAGAAAATCCATTCAAAGGTACCGTCCAGCCCAATGGAAAAGAAAAATCAACTTCTGGAATCCAAAGAACAAATTAGCAATGGTGGGGAGTTGTGACTGGGGATGTACTGACAGGAAAGGAAAAAGAAAACCCAGAAGAAAATATCTACTCGCAAAATGATGACTACATTATGATTTCCCAAGCACAATCTAAATGATCCGTTGCATTTTCTAGATTAAGGTAATTATATTCATCTCCAGTTCCTAAAGTTCGTTTTCTTTTCTTTCAAAAGAACAACAATCAATTACTCTTCTCTTGTTACAGTAAAGAAATGCACAGGAACTCATAGCGCTGAACTTCTTCACAGACCATAATTCTAAAATTTGCACAAGAAAGATAAATAAGGCACTGATTTGATTTAAGTAAGAGAAAAGTAAAAAAAGGTTATACCAAAATTTTGCATAAGCATGGAGATAATGAATTCCACAGTATACATTATCAGATTTGAGCCAAAGGAGGGGCAAGGTTAAGAAAAAAGGATGGTTTATATAACAGTAAATCATAAATTGCAAGTTCTTAAATTCAAAACAAAGGAAGTAAGACAACTTCAGCAAGGACCAGCGGAGCTATAACAATCAAAGAAGAAACTAACCTGCAGTAGCTGGAAAAATAAAACTATCTAAAGAACTCTTCCATCCATGCCATCCAGAAGACCTGACCACATTCCCTTTGCCGGTGGCAGTTGGGCGACAAAAGCATTCCAAGGAGGATAACCAACACCACTTCCACGGACACGGCCATCCATGCGTAGAGATAAATACCTGCAGAACCGAATGCACTCAAAAACTTATGATTCTTAGTGCATACATTATCCTAACTTTGACATATAAATAAGTGAAATGCATAATTTTAAGGATCGTACACAGATATAGAGAATATCACACCAATAAAAATAAACAAATGCACAACATAAATTCTACGTGGTTCAACTGTGCCTACGTCCACAAGCGAAGAGAAAATTTCACTGCAATCGGAAAAGTACGAGTCTGGAGAACTCTCAACCCGAATCCCAAGTACACCAAAACAAAATGAGTTGTGTCAATTTTTTTTGCCACATACACAGACATTTTAAGTAGTCAAAACCAATCCTAAAACTAAAAGGCTCAATATGAAGTCCTTATATAATTAGCTTCTTTTAAAGTGTAATTCACGCCACATCTTTAACACCGAAGGACAGATTTTTTAAAGCATGCTTCATATTCTCGTAAGTATCTGACAAAGTGCAATGTAAAAAATATTCACGATGTGAGAAGAAATTGATTTGCAAGAACTTATCCTTGCATTTTCCTGCCCTAGAAAAAGTTTGAAGTAAATGGAAGAACACATACACAGGAGATTCAGGGGAGACTCCAGCCAGCTTCTTTTGTTCATCTAACCACCTGTAATTTGATATGTCTGGAATGAGAACAAGAGAGGACAAAACTTGAAAAAAGACAAAGAAGTATTTTTCTGACTTGATTTCTTACTTAGACCATTCAGAAACATAGACAGGAGTCAACTGCCAGAGTCGCTTCCTCTTGGTGGTAAGCTCCTTCATCTCCTCACTCTCGTCAAATTCAAAACTAGGTAAATTCCCATCTGCAGCAAATGGAACCACAAGCACCCCTCTATCCACAAGGCTCTGAGTGAAAGGCTCACTGAGTCTAAAAGATTCTAAAATGAAAGGTCCAGGACCAGCACAGATTACAAGTCGACCAACACCTCTCAAAGAGCTCACAGAAATGATCTTCTTTTCATCAACACGGAGCTTAAGATTTGAAAGGTTTTCCTCTCTTGACAGCCTAGCCATTTGCACATTTTTAGCTTTGTTCTCCCTGTAATATAAGAATGCAAAGATAGACGCTGCTCCAATGTCTATGCCCAGACCTCGCAATATGTCAGCCACTTGAGCTGCTCTTGATGGATTTGCTAGTGCAGCAATCAGTTGTGTGGTTGCTATTAATCCTCCCAAAGAAGCACTTGCAATAAAAGCTAGGTAGAAAAACATCCGGACAGACCGAAATGGAGACAGAACTTCACTCCTTATCTTGGCTGTAGAACTGAACAAATAAAAGAATGACTACAACTTTACAAGGATTCTGATGAAAAATTTTCTCCACATTTTAAGCAAAAGCATCCTTGAACATCAAAACAAAAACAAGTAGCACTAGAAAAATGCAAGCACCAAAATTCAAACCATATAGAGCTTGAAATTTAAACTGCAAGCAGAAATATTCTAAAATTTCATCCGAAGTGTAGTTTTTCAAAAGCCTTAAAATGCACTAAAAATCACTCCCAAAAGAACAATTACGCAGTACTAGATCAGTTGTCAGCTGTTTTCCTCTGCTGATCAATCAAACTATATATGCTAGCTTTCGCCCTTAAACTATATCATTTCATACCTGATTTTCCAATTCAAGACACAAAATAGAAAAGAAAAAAAACAAGAAGGAAAATGAGAGAAAAAAAGGAGAACCCACCTAATTTCAGTAGACTGAGAGGGTCTGTTAGCAGCAGAGCAGGTGATGGTGGAAGTAGAACAACTTTGCCTCTTGCAGCGTAGCATATGATGTGCTAAATTATGATGAATGCAAGGGAAAAGTAAACTGTTTCTGTGATTGGCAATATGGTATTTGTAATTGTTGTGATAGAAGTTAAGGGGTCCAACAACGTTGTAGGGAAGATGCGCCATGAAAGAGGCCATGGCTGGCGCTGGCTCCTATCTTTGCAAGAACCTCAGAATTTCCAACTCAGGCCTTTATTTATCATGCGAAGTGCATAATCCAGCCGCTGCCTTGTTGGATGATCGTTATAGCGCCACGCTTTTCAGTTTGGGTTAATGGTTACAAGGTTCTTCTATTTTTTTTCCTTTTATATTTATTGTATCCTTTTATTCATTTATTTTTCCTTTTTCAATTTGTCTACTATTAACATTTTGGATTAAAGGTGTAAAATTACACCACTAACCTTACAAGATTGTGACACATATCAAACTTATTTTTTATTTTTATCATATATTTTTTATTTTTTTATATCGAATTTAAATAAATTAATTTTGGAATTTTTTAAAAGTGAAAATATATCTGATCATTGTCTTAAAAAAATAAATAAATGGATAAAAAATGGATAAAATATTTTTATCCAAACTATTCTTTATGAGTTTAAATTTATTTAATTACAATGAACAATTTTCGAGTACAAAATAAAATATTTATAGTATTTTTTTAAAAAAAGAGTTTTAGTTAAAATTTTAAACTTTTGAAAGGTACTTTTAATCACTTTTGATTGAATAATTCCAAAACTTCTTAACAAAATTTATATTTTTACTTTTGAGTCAAATTAAGAAATTTGTAAAATATAAATAAGTAAATTATAATAGATAAGTTTGAGGTATTATAAAATTATAAACACCATTCAAAAATTTAAAATTTAACTAAATCTCCCTTGACATTTGAAAAAAATACTATAAATATTTTATTTTATATTCAAAATTTTCTTACTACTGTATAGACGAATTTAAACCCATAAATAATATTTTAGATAAAAAATATTTTTATCTTTATATATATATATATATATATATATATATATATATATACATATTTTAGTTTTTAGAGAATTTTTTCTTTTAACTCACACACTCAAGACTCCTAACGAACTAATCTATTAGGATTTGAACACCCGACCTCTTGTAAGAGATCACTAGTATTGAGCTATAAGCTCTTTGATAGTTTTTAGAGAGAATTATTGGAAAAATCTTCCTCTTTTTTTTCCAGTATTTTTTTTCAACATTTATTTATTTAAATACAGTAAAAAAAAGAAAAAAGAAAAAAAAAACAAGTAGAGAGACGAGATTAAGACTAAAAATTCAAGATTAACACATGTCGTAATTCTATGAAGGTGACATTATGATTCAACATCATTAACCTAAAAAGTTAATAAAAAGATGAATTTAAGACAAAAATCAAACATAAATAAATAAATAAATAAATTTAAGACAAAAAATAAAATAAAATAACATATTACAAAAGACACTAAAAGACATTAGACGTAAACCAGTTCATAAACTATTTAGCCTCACTCATCTAACTGTGATGCAGACTGTCAACTATTGTTCTCTAAATTTTACTAATTTCTGGTCATCCCTCCTTTTCCTCTCTCTGGTTGGCTTTCTGTGCATTTTTTATTTGTTAACATTCTTGTATTATCTTTTCTTTATTTATCTCAATTTGCTTGGTGTAGTTTATTAGTGCTTTTGAATTCTCTCATTAATCATTTCTCTACCTCTTAGTGTTGCTATCAAGTTACGTTTGTGCCCTTCAATTTTTGGTTTTTCTTTAACTAATTTTCTAATTGTTTTTGTAAATTTGTTCATTGTTGTGGAAAAACATTTAATGCTGCATAGTCATGTTCATACTCTATAATTTCTTTTCTTTTTTCTTTTAGAAAGTAAAAGCTAACCGCATTAAATAAGGCAGCATTTTTTTTTTATAGTAGTAAAATTCAAGCCCAAATTATTTGACAGCCCACATTTCAATTTTATTTTTATATAATATTGTATCAAAAGAGAAAAAAGACATTAATTTGATCATGTCGAATTTATCTTTTTGGGATCCAAATATAATTAAAAACTTGTAATCATAAGCTTTTATGAAAGGCTAAATGAATGGTAGCATGATAAAACAAAATTTATTATTTCTTTAACATTTATGGGATCTTAATTTAAATTTCCACTCCGTAAGAGATGTATACCATTTCTGTTTTTGTGATAAAGATAAGGTCAATTTTGATACATCAAGACTATATAATTTTTTCAATCAAATTTTAGATAGATATTGATTATCTAAACTTGAATATACTTAAAAAAATAAAAATATATATTTTGTTTCATCCTTTTTTTAATATCCAAATCCTCAATAATACATGGGGAGCAAACCACTTTCTATAAGATTAAGTGTCTAAACTTCATTCATCACATGCTCTTAAAGTTTACATTAGTTGAAATTACCATCCTAAGGAAAAGTTAAAAATGCTTAAAAAACGTTATCTGAAAAATATAACTATAATTATAAACTAAAGAACGAAAAAATACATGCATCTTTTGACTGTTTAGACTTTTTCATTTATTCTATTTGAAAAGGTTGTATGATTGACATTATTTGAAAAATTCATTTTGAAGGAGTATTATGATGTCTTTTCATAACAAATATTATGTTAATCTACTTTTAAAGGGTATAAGGCAAAATTTAAGCTTTTTTTGAAGCAAAAAAGTCAAATATTTGTGTTTGGTAAATTAAAAAAAATTTAAATTCCCATGAGAGGAAATATCTTTCAATATATTATTATAAAAAAAACTGAAAGAAGTGCATGTGACACTATTCATTTATTATAGCTCTAGACTCATTGTCCTTATTTATCAATTTCTTGTTGCTTGCTTAGTCCCTCTTTCTTTGAGAGATGAATTAATTAGTCCTTTTGCTTTTTTTAAAAGGTTGTCCGGCTGGCCTCCTCTTTTTCCGAGCTAGCCTCTTTTTTTCTTTTTTTGAAGGGCTAGATTTTTTATTTTTATTTTTTGGGTTGGCCTCTTTTTTTTTTTCTTTTTTTTTCCTTTTTAAACGAAAAAAATTAATAATTAGTTAAAAAATTCATAAGTTTTATTTGATTATATATATTAAAAATTTATCGAAACTAATTTTATAGTATTTTTTATTTAAAGGGTTGGGTTGTCATTCACCGTAGCGAGTATCGTTTTTTTCCCTTTTAACGGTTGGCCTCCTTTTTTTTTCTTCCTTTTTTAATGGGAAAAATTAATAATTAGTTAAAACACTCATAGGTTTTATTTGATTATATATATATATATATGATTAAAATTTATTGAAACTAATTTTATAGTAGTTTTTATTTAAACCTATTCACTCGATATATTCCATGCAATTTATGTGAGTTTATATATATATGTTATTTATTTTATATATTATGAGTCTACTAAGTAATATATATTAAAACCAAATTTATAGTAGGTTTTATTTAAATCTATTCACTTCGATATATTCCATGCAATTTACGTGGATTTTTAATAGATTTTTTATTTATTTTATATCCTCCGAGTCTGCTAAGTAATATATATAGTTTTTTCATATATAAATTCTAATGAGTGGGAGAGAGAGAGCTAAATGTGTATTTTTGGTAATTTGATTTTTTTTAAAAAATGATAATTAGTTAAAAAAATAATTCTGCTCTATTTTTTTTTAAGAAATTAATAATTAGTTAAAAAATTCACAAGTTTTTTTTTATTATATATATATAATCGAATTTATCGAAACTAATTTTATAGTAGTTTTTATTTAAATCTATTTACTTCGATATATCCCATGCGATTTAGGTGAGTTTTTTTATATGTATTTATTTATTTTATATACTCTAAATCGTTAAGTACAATATATATAGTTTTATTAGAAATTAATTATTTACGCATACATAACATCAATTATTTGTTATTTTTTTCATATTCTAAAATCTATATTTTAAAATAAAATAATTTATTTAATATTTTGAAACGGCCTCTTAATTATTCAAATACAAATTTTTTATAAATTATTTTGTTAATGAATATATGCAAATCAAATAAGTTCGCTTAATATATAGATTCGATTTACATTAATCTTCGAAACAAAACATCTACTCGCATCATACCATATAAATCATTAGCCCCGTGTATATAATGGTTGTCCGACCGCAACGTAACACGAGAATTATAAAAAAACTAAAAGAACTAGAGGTGAGATTGTTTCTTTTCCCGCCTTGCCTTTTTTTTTTTTTCTTTTTTTTTTTTAAAGGCTCAGGTCTGCTGAACCGGTCCTTCACGGTCCCATTACGGTAGCATCCTTCATAGTCCCATTACTCGTAGCTATTTTTTTCTCGACTAGCATCCTTTCTTTTCTCTTATTTTTCTTCTTTTCAACGGGTTGAGTCTGTTGAGATTTAGTTTGTCCTTTCTTTTTTAATTTGTTAATAATTTTTTTTTATATATGAATTTCACAATAAAATTTTGGAACATTGTCTCTACTCGACATCGGACGGGACTCCTCGAAAATATCTAAAATTAGATTGGTATTTACAAGTTTATTTACGAGTTTGGAGTCGCCACCTAGTATTGAAGGAACTAGGAACCTAAAATGGACACTCGGTTCGGATATTCTATGGTAAGGAGTTGGTTACGCTTTTGGAAAGATCTCGATCACCCAAAAGCGCCCTTTTCGAAAAAAAGGTACACGTTTGGTTTAGCTTTAAATTTATCTCCTAAAATATTTTATTTACGTCAAATTATTTTCTGACTCTTAATCTCTCATTTTTTTTAGACAAATTGAATTTTTAGTTTTGAGTGTGGCATCGTATTGAAACGATCATCGATCTTCTTCGTTGGGCGACACATCGATTCAAACATCGGATCCACTTTAAGCCTTAACACAATCGGTGTGTCGGAGGATATCTTGATTTAAACAATGATTTTTTTTTGTGAAGTCGGTCCCAATCGGATAGGAGACTTCGTCGAGAATTTTAGATTTTTGATGACATCGGTCTCTATTAGATATGAGACTTCGTTGAAAAAAAAATATATTTTTTATTTTTTAATTTTTTTATAGAAAAATTTAAAATTTTAATTAACTAAAATCAACTAAAAAAATTTTAAAAAATTAAATATAT